TCCCCCTTGAAGGGCGCCGGGGCCGGGAGGGGGGCAGTAGAGTTTCCCTGGTGTTGGCCAGAGTGGCCACCAGGGAAACCTGGGGAGGGCTTGCCTCCCACTAGTTCGAATTAAGGGGCTACACCCCCCTTAATTCGAACTAGCTAGTTCGAACTAGGCTTAATCCTCGTAAAATGAGGTTTTCCTAGTTCGAACTAAGTGCTCCGCTAGTTCGAATTAAGTTCGAACTAGCGGAGCGCTAGTGTAGTGCCTATTAAAGTTAATTCGAACTAACGTCTGTTAGTTTGAATTAACTTTGTAGTGTAGACATACCCTTACAGAGAAGGTAGGTAACAGTTTTTTGTGAATGAGGGTGGCAGAATCAATGAGCCAGCAGCCAGTGAGGGCATTTGCTAGAAGCCCCCAACAAAAGGCAGAGATCTTCCCCCTTGGAACAACCCTGTTGGGCCAAGGTGTGGAGTGTAAACACCTTCCATGAGATAAACCAGTACAACATGAACTTCCCTGCACCAGCCATACCATCTATTATTTGTTATGGATTCTTTGCTAAAGCCTTATGGTCAAAGCATTGCCTTGCTTAATTGGTAGATCTGATACTGCCTGTGGAAATTTGAGCAGGCTTCATGCAGAGTCTGTAATGTGAGTTATTTGAAAACAGTCAATAAGTATCTATTGCAGCATAGCTAAAGGTGACACCTATCCAATGATTCTGAGTTGTCATCACTTGCCTATTGATAGAACCTTAGAGCTGGAAGAGACCTCAGAAGGTCATCAAGTCCAGCCCCCTGCTCTAGGCAGGACCAATTCCAACTAAATCAACCCGGCCAGGGCTTTGTCAAGCCGAGACTTAAACACCTCTAGGGAAGGCAGGACCAATCCCAACTAAATCAACCCAGCCAGGGCTTTGTCAAGCTGAGACTTAAACACCTCTAGGGATGGAGACTCCACTACTTCCCTAGGTAACCCATTCCAGTGCTTCACCACCCTCCTAGTGAAATAGTTTTTCCTAATATCCAACCTGGACCTCTCCCACCACAACTTGAGACCATTGCTCCTTGTTCTGCCATCTGTCACTACTGAGAACAGCCTCTCTCCATCCTCTTTGGAACCTCCCTTCAGGAAGTTGAAGGCTGCTATCAAATCCCCCCTCACTCTTTGCTTCTGCCGACTAAACAGACCCAAGTCCCTCAGCCTCTCCTCATAGGTCATATGCTCCAGCCCCCTAATCATTTTGGTTGCCTTCCGCTGGACCCTCTCCAATGCGTCCACATCCTTTTTGTAGTGGGGGGCCCAGAACTGGACACACTACTCTAAGTGTGGCCTGACCAAAGCTGAATAAAGGCTATTAAAACTGTGGTGTTGGTTGTTGTCTTTTTAAATCAGTGTTGTGTTTACCGTAAGTGGTAGAAGACTTTCAAAAAAGGTGATGCAGCAAGTTAAATCAGCTATTTAATGTTACTACAATACTTAAAAGTAAGCAGTGCAGCTGCCCTACATTATTTGTGAGGTGGTGACAGGTGCTTAGTGACACTGATGCTGGCCCTTAGTCACCTAAGAATGCTGCTGATAGCTACTACTTTAAACAGAAGGATTTCTAGTTAATAATCTGTTTCTATTTGTACATTTTTATAGCTGCAGTTACAAGACCCTGCTGCTCACCAAGATACATTGTGCTACAATCTACAGCAGGGGTAGGGGCTGCCATTTATTTTCAGTATGCTTTTGTGCCCTGTTTTAGTACCTTCCATCTCATGATCTCAAAAACCTTTGCAAATATTGAGATGCTCTGCCCCTGCACAGACTTTCTGAAACAAATGAGCTGCAAAGTTCCCCTATTTTGAAGCTGGGGGGAAAAGCAGAGGGGAAGGAACTTGCTTGAGATAACATGGTGAGTTGGTGTTGTCTAACCAAACACCCTTGTTGTGCTCCTTTCCCAGAGGCCGTGCCCTGCTCGTTCAGTCTGTTTTCCCCCACCCCCTCCTCACTTTCATGGGTTTGTAGCAAGGATTTAGGGTGAAGTAGGTGTGAGATGCCAGCTCTAGATGAGTGTTTGGGTGTTGGAGGGGACTCAGGACTGGGGTAGATTTGATGGTGTAGGAGGGTGCAATCTCCAAGCTTTAGGGCTGGGCGAGGGGAAGGGGTTGAGGTGTATGAGGGGGTATGTACTACAGACTCTGAGGAGGCAGTGCTTATCTTAAGTGCTTCCAGGTCTGCCTCTGCCCCATTCCTGAAAGTGACTAGCACATCCCTGCAGCTCAGGGGGGAGTGAGGCTCCATGTCCTTCCCCATGCAGTTCCCATTGGCTGCAGTTGCTAGCCTGGTGTCAGGGCAGGCAGGAGCCTGCTCTAGCCCTGCTGTGCTGCCAGACTTTTATCAGTCTAAAATCTCCCAGTTTGGCTCTAATAGCCTCTGGGAAAAGAGAGAGCCTGGTTCCAGATGCCTAGTGAAACTGGGAGGGCTGGCAATCCTAGATCCCAGGGTTAGAACTCAGGAGCTCCAGGCTCCCAAAGGCACATGCAGTTTTATAGATAAGTACTACTCAAAAGTTAGATTGTGACCTAGAAGAAAATTGGAAGAGGGTGGTTGCTAGAACACACACATTGCAGTGGACAAGAAAGCAGCAAAATCTTCTAGTGCCTAGAGAGAACCTGCATAAGGGAGGGAAGGTATAGCTCTTCATCCTTCTGTTCCTGTAGTTTCTACAGACTTTCTCTTATGCAGATTTTTGCACCTCTCTCTTCACACCTGTAACATATCTTGTCCAGAGCAATGGAAATAGCACACCAGTGCTTATAGAAATAATCCTACCACCTTCTGGAGTGATCCTATCCAGAGTGGAGGGCTGTGTAAGCATAGGAGGAGGGGGTGGGGAGAGGAGAGGCACTTCTCTCAAAACCCTAGCCACCTGCAGCACCCAGTTGCTTCTTCATATGAATCCCAAATGGTTGTAGGGTGAGAGTTGTGGGATGCTTTCTGGGCCATTGTCTGAGTGATTGAATGATATACACTGCAACAGAATCCCTGATCTGTGAAGCAGGCTGCTAAAATGTATTTTGAAAATTTTCTGTGGTAACTTTTCATGTAGATAGATGTAAAGTGATCTGATTCATATATAAGGAAGCAAGTATGTAGGTGGTAGAAATATTTCATGAAACTTCTCCATGGTTGTCCTTTAAGCTCCATCCAATATTTGCTTGTATGTTAAATTAAACTGCTGTTTGAGGCATTGTTGCCAAATAGGTTCAAGAATCTGAGAGCAACAAGGTAGATGAGAATCTTTTATTTGACCAACTTCTGCAAGCTTTTGCATCCCCTAGAACAATGTTTCTCAACCTTTTTTTTTAAATGGTACTTTTTAAACAAGTACCCCCAGTTTTCAGACTTTTTCTACCATTGTAACACTTATTAAAACAGCTTCATCAGACCCAGCTGGACAATGACATTTGGGGTGTAAAAAGTACAAAAATAATAGTGCTGTAAAAGTTAAAACAAATTCAATTTTCTCCAAATTCCAGTGGTTGATGTACCCTAACGGTACTCGTACCGCTGATTGAGGAACACTGCCCTAAGAACTCTTCTTCAGGATAATTAAAACTCTGCAGTGTGGGGGTCTGAAAAAAGGGGTCCAGCAGCAGAGAGAAGGCTGCTTGGCTAGCTATCAACTTGCAGGATTTTATTGCCAGTCATGTGACATTTTAAATTTCCTTGAAGCCCAAGTTAGGGTTGCTAAAATTGCACAAAACTGAACTCTTACCTATCCGAAACCCTCCCCCAGCCTCTCCATCCTCTGTCAGTGGCTGTGGCCTGCAGCCTAAGGTTGGTGTGCAAGAGAGGGTGAAGAAGGGGCTTGGAGTTGGTGTGCAGGTTCGGACTAAGGGAATTGGAGTGCAGAACTGGGCTCAGGGCTTCAGGGTCCAGAAGGGGCTGTGAGGTCGGGATGAGGGCTTGGTGTGCAGTAGGAGGCTTTGGCTTGGGATGGAGGGGTGTGGGAGTGGGCTCAGCAATGGTGCAAGGTGTAGGCTCTAGGCTATGCCAGAGGTTGGGATCTGGGCTCTGCAAAGGAATTTGGGTAGGAGAGTAGGTTCCAACTAGGGGCTTGGGCTGCAGAGAATTGGCACTTACCTCAGGTGGGTCCCAGTTGGCAGCATAGGGAGGCTCCCTGTTTGCTCTGGCTCTTAATAGCTGGAACCGGCTAGCGTGTCTGGTTCCCAGGCAGAAGGGTAACCAAGAGCCTCTGTGCAGTGCACGCTGCCCGTGCACCCTCCCTTACCGCTCCTATCAGCTTGTGGGAGGTGTAGGGCAAGTGCTATGGGCAGTGTGCAGCGCTGTCCCGATCACAGAGGCCGCAGGGCCCTATGCTGGGAGCTTGCCTAAGTCCCACTGTGCTGCCGACTGGTGTAATGGAGAAGCCTGCTCAGCCGCGCTGACTAGAGCACCCAGGAGCTCTTATTCACTGGGCGTTCCTCCTGGAAACCAGAAACCTGCAGCCCTAACCCAGCTCCGGCACGCGCGCTGCTAGGGGAGACGCAACTTGCTGTGCAGCGACCGACACACTATACACCGGCGCGGGCCAGGCAGGACGCTGGCCACAAGCGAGCAATGGGGATGCAGCAGCTCGTGCCCGCAGGAGGGACTCGCGCGCCACGCGGCGTGAGACCTTGGGGAGGCGGGGCCAGGGTAGAGGGCGCAGGCGCAGCCTGAGGGAGGTCGCCGACTCTCCGCGCGAGCGCTCAGCCACTTGCTTTGGCGGGCCTTGGCCAGCTTCCAAGATGGCGGCGCTCCAGCCTCTGCCCGGGTCAATAGCTAGCTTGGTCCCCATGGAAACCGGGGCGCGCGGAACTCTCGTGCTACCAGACCATTTGCTTGCTCTTATTTTTCTCTCAAGACTTCACACCCCCCCCC